CAACTGAAGCCAAATACAATGAAATGTAGTTTAGACTTTAAGGATCAATTAACTAAAAGCTAGTTAAATATTTACTGCATAGGATTTACTACACCTAACATTAAAGGCTATCCCATATCTCTTGGCTCAGTGTACTCAGTGGAGAATTCACCAGCAAAACAAAATAGATACACAAATCAAGGAAATTTGTGTTTTTACCTGAAAAGAGAACCACTTTAAGCTTTCACGTTGTGGGATAAGACTGAAGTGGTAATATAATTTGACTCTTTACTAACTTACCACCAATCCTGTCTTTTGAAGTCCCTCAGTATAGACCTTAAGGTAAATGGTTTGTGTGTAGCCTTCTCTTCTAGCTGGCAAATGTCTATTCCAGCACATCATTAAAAGAAAGGTCAATTTTGGCCACAATATGCCAAATCACAAAACAGTTTCAAAGGCTGCTTGTTGTATTATTTAGAACAGAGTAATTATATTAGAATTTTGAACTGCAAGTTGATTGCTCTTGGGCATCTCAGCAGTTTGAAGCCATATACAAAACACTATGGAGCCAACAAGTAGATTTAGATTTGGCTGCATGTAACTCCAAAATTAGAAAGGTGAAACTTAAAGATAAAAAACAGCAATACATATACAGAGCAGTTTAGATGAACTAATTCTAAAACATTACATTAATGAAGAATGGTTATAAGCATGGGAGGGGTATATGTTTTATGTCTTCTGAGTCTTTGGTCAGTTGGATGCCTGCTCTTTAATTAGCTTTTTTTGTCCTTTTTTTCTGATAGCACTGAAACTGTTCTATACATATAATCTCCACCCAAGAAACCATACTCCCCAAATGTTTTTGACCCCTAATGGGCTTTTCACAAGAATAGAGTAGGTTCACTATCCTTGTGAACAAGCCCATCAGGGGTAACACATGTTTGGGGAGTGTGGTTTTCTGGGCAAGGATTACATGTATGTAGCCATTTTATTACTATCAAAATAAAGTACCAACATTTGTTTTTTACAGAGCGCAACTCTTCTAGTATTCTTTTTTGCAAATTATATTTTTATTATAGTCTTACATAAAAAGTTTACGTGATATTTACATAGTCTTATAAACCGTGAGTCCCTCACTTTTTCATTATACAATAGTTCAACCAGCCATTAATATCATGAAAGCATTACCTTAGTACTTATAAACCTCATATATTAAGATTCTTAATTCACACCCTCTATATAAAGTAGACACAAAAAATAAAAAACAAAATATAATTCACACACACATCCCCCCATTCCCCACTCAGGGACATGTACCCCTTTACATTCGCTATTCCTCTTTACTTTTTTTTACAATATAGCTCACCTCAACCAATTCAACTCCAAAGATGCACAGAAAGATATCAACAGAGACCACATTGATGTTTGGAGCGGTGCTGTGGATTTGGGTATATTTTTACTGACACAGACTTATGTTTGAATGTTATTAACCCTAACAAAGATGTGGCCTTTTTGTGTCAACCTCTTCATGGGATTTTAAAGGCAACCAAAAACATATAGCAATAAAATAGTATATTCTTTTTTCTTTCTTTATTTTAAACATTTTTTTTCCAAACAACTTCCATAAAAACAATGAATGCTGCAATGTACAGACATGTTAACAAAATAAGTATCGACTCAAGATCACCCAAGAATCAACAATTATTTGGCATATACAGTGGGGATCGAAAGTTTGGGCACCCCAGCTAAAAATTTGTATTAATGTGCATAAAGAAGCCAAGGAAAGATGGAAAAATCTCCAAAAGGCATCAAATTACAGATTAGACATTCTTATAATATGTCAACAAAAGTTAGATTTTTTTTCCATCATTTACACTTTTAAAATAACAGAAAACAAAAAAATGGCGTCTGCAAAAGTTTGGGCACCCTGCAGAGTTAATATCTTGTACTGCCCCCTTTGGCAAGTATCACAGTTTGTAAACGCTTTTTGGAGCCAGCCAAGAGTCTTTCAATTCTTGTTTGAGGTATCTTTGCCCATTCTTCCTTACAAAAGTCTTCCAGTTCTTTGAGATTTCTGGGCTGTCTGTCACACACTGCTCTTTTAAGGTCTATCCATAGATTTTCAATTATGTTGAGGTCAGGAGATTGTGAAGGCCATGCAAAACCTTCAGTTTACGCCTCTTGATGTAATCCCCCATGGATTTCGAGGTGTGTTTAGGATCATTATCCATTTGTAGAAGCCATCCTCTCTTTAACTTCAGCTTTTTCACAGATGGCATCAAGTTACCATCCAAAATTTGCTGAAATTTTATTGAATCCATTTTTCCTTCTACTCGTGAGATGTTCCCTGTGCAACTGGCTGCAACACAACCCCAAAGCATGATTGATCCAACCCCATGCTTAACAGTTGGACAGAGATTCTTTTCATTAAATCCTGTACACCTTCTTCTCCAAACGTACCTTTGCTCATTCCGGCCAAAAAATTCAATTTTAACCTCATCGGTCCACAGAACTTGTTTCCAAAATACATCAGGCTTGTCTATATGTTCATTTGCAAAGCTCAAACGATGATTTTTGTGGTGAGGACATAGAAGAGGTTTTCTTCTGATGACTCTTCCATGAAGACCATATTTGTACAAGTATCTCTTTATAGTGGAATAGTGTACCACAACTCCAGTGTCTGCCAGATCTTTCTGGAGGGATCGTGCAGTCAAACGTGGGTTTTGAATTGTTTTTCTCACAATCCTGTTCTGTCTGATATTTTTCTTGGTCTTCCAGATCTTGCTTTAACTTCCACTGTTCCTGATGACTGCCATTTCTTAATTACATTCCGAACAGAGGATATTGACATCTGAAAACGCTTTGCTATCTTCTTATAGCCTTCTCCAGCTTTGTGAGCGTCAATTATTTTCAGTTTCAGTTTTCTAGACAACTGCTTAGAAGAACCCATAGTGCTGATTGTTGGGGCAAGGTCAGATGAGTCTGGGCATTTAAAACCTTTGAGATTGACATCACCTGGTCTTCCCAGACGATGATTGAGAACAATCCATGACACTGGCAGGTCTCAGCTTTGCAAAGGGGGCAGTGCATGCTATAAATTCTGCAGGGGTGCCCAAATTTTTGCAGATGCCATTATTTTGTTTTCTGTTATTTTGAAAGTGTAAATGATGGCAATAAAATCTAACTTTTGTTGACATATTATAAGAATGTCTAATCTGTAATTTGATGCCTTTTGGAGATTTTTCCATCTTTCCTTGGCTTCTTTATGCACATTAATACAAATTTTTAGCTGGGGTGGCCAAACGTTCGATCCCCACTGTATATATATATATATATATATATATATATTGGGAAAGTGTAGGTAGAGATAGGAACTTGTCTTGTGCATGCACAGTTGGATTCTGGATGCCTCCTTCCCTCCCATTTCTGATAGGAAGCAGTCCCAGGGAAGCACACAGTCTAGCACTTTAAACACTCACATGTTGACTCTAGGAGTACACTCTATATGAGAAGTGTTCCTTCTTAGCTTGATCGGCTGCTCCAACTGAGCAAAGATGTGGCCTTGACCTTCCTACATAATTAGTTTTTGAGTATTAAGTAAGCCTTTATTTGTGACCACAGGATAGCAGTTATATCAATTTCCAGTTTTAAAAACATGCAATAAACAGCATTTAACTGACTTGTCATGGATCAGGTATAAAACTGCTGTGCCATAGGCTGAGTCTCTTATTCCGCTGTCAAACGATACAAATTTATTTGCGCCTATTCCCAAATCTGTACTCCTGTTTTCAGCTGCTTACGTCAGTAACTACTTAGAAGGCCACAGCCCTTTTGCAGACTAAGGGATTGATTTGCTAAAACTGAAGAGTGCAAACTCTGGTGCAACTGTGATTGGTAGCCAGCATCTAAGTTCAACTTTTTCAATTAAGCTTTGGCAAAAATACTTGGAAACTGATTGGTTTCCATGCAAAGCTGCACCAGATTTTGCACTCTTCCGTTCTAGTAAATAAACTGCTTACTGTCTAGCAAATGTTTAAAAATTAGGACCGAAGAGCAGGTCTCTTTTTACCCTGTGGGTTTTCTAGCAAGCTCATGAGACCCGTAAACATACAGCATTGCCTCGTATTGTATACTACATATGGTATATAGTTATATCTAGTTGCCTGGTAATGGATTATTTAACATTAACTAAGTATAGCTAAATCTATGCAATCTTTTCAATAATTTGTCTGCCAAGGTCTTTGTTTTCTGGCAATTATCCCATAAAATATTCAACGTTACTTTACCTCACGTGGCACAACTTTAATGTTATTTCTAAAAATAATTGCTGAGCGCAAATAAAAAGTTTGCCGCTCTAGCATGCTATTATCATAATGGTAGAGGATCTACAAGTTATAGACCTTTATTACATGCATGCATTTATTCATTATTCATCATTCATATTATAAACACATGTATTTATTACATATTAAAGCAAACTTTGCCACTGTGGTCTGTTGTTTACAAGACACTGGCAAATTTTGTTCAGACTGTTAAAATGAACATTTCTTGGTGAACACAATGAATTAAATAGCTGCAAGTTATGAAGTTGTCACAGTACCACTGCCCTACCACAACAAAAGGAGCCTGGTGGGCATGAATAAGTAATTTAGAGAAAACAAAGAAATGTAGCCACTTGCCCTCCTGAGGATTTACCCTCCTTCCTGACCAGGCCATTTTTTTGCATTACTGAGCTGCATTATTTTAATTGACAATTGCGCGGTCATGCAATGCTGCACGCAAATCAAATTTACTTCCTTTTTTTACCACAAATTGAGCTTTCTTTTGATGGTATTTTATCGCCTGTGTGCTTTTTTTGCGCTATAAAAAAAAGCCCGACAATTTTGAGAAAAAAACAATATTTTTGACATTTTGCTATTAAACATGTCCAGTAAAAAAATTTAAAAATCAAATTTCGTCATACATTTAGGCTAAAATGTATTCTGCTACATGTCTTTGCTAAAAAAAAATCCCAATACGTGTAAATTAATTGGTATACATGAAATTTATAGCGTTTTCAAATGGCGGTATATATACTGGATTTTTCTTTTTTCACTAGTAATGGCGGCGATCAGTGACGTATAATGGGACAGGACTGTAGCGGGCATTCTGACACTGGGGGGAGCTGACTTGGTGTCACTGACATCCCCAGGGACACCAATACAGTGATCAATGCTAAAAAAAAAAGCATTGACACTGTACTAATGGCACTGGGCAGGAAGGGGTTAACATGAGGGGCGATCGAAAGATTAACTGTGTGCTGGGTGTGTTTTATTATGGGGTCATGTGTTTGTGCTTCATTGTAAGCATGTTGCTTTGTATGGCTGTGCTGTGCCGCGAGCGCAAATGCTCATGACTATGTGCAGCAGAATGGCCCTCGCACACCTGCGCATGTGCCGCTGTGCAAGCCCAGAGGCCTCAGCTGCACTATGGCAACCATCTTCCTGACAGATCTGCTTTACTGCCCATTTCGTAAATTTGCTGGTGGCTGGGAAGAAATCAGGATACCACTGGAGCTGGTGGTGTTGCCCTATGTCCTGCACCTTTGTGACATTGTAGTTGCTTCTACCCCCTCTTCTTCATTGGCATCATCTGGTGACTCTTCAGAATCACCAGTGTCTTCCCAAGTGCTCCAGAGCTTATTCACTGACCAAGGAAAAATATTGCCATGCTGTTTTGTAGCTGGCAGGCCTGGTGAACAGGAACCACACCAGGCCATGGTCTCTGGCAGCTCTATGTACAAGCATAGATAGGTGGTAAGTCCATTTACACATTAAAAGGAAGATACTCAGGAGTGCTAGAATAAAATTGAGTCTTCTGCTAATTCTATTCAACTGGGTAACTTAATGATTTACTAATGTAAAAAAAACAAGCGTTGTTAAAAACTACAGCTGGCCTTAAATGTTGTTTTCAAGAACTGCAGGTAGGCTCAGCTAATCAGAAATCCCTCCAGGGTTGGCCACTGGTATTAACCTGTATATGAAGGGTAAGTTTTGAACTGAGAGGATGATAGAAGGGCAAGGGTGTCCAATCTGTGGGCCAAGGGCTGCATACAGCCCAAGACGGCTATGAAAGTGGCCTAACATAAAATAGTTGACTCATTTTAAAATGTTGATTTTTATTGCATGTTTTTTTTTTTTTAAAAAAGGCATTTACGCTTAGTGAACACACGTGGCCAAAGATAAAATTTGACAGTGTCTCTTTATTTGGACTTTTGTAAGTTTTATCTTCCCAAAGTAAAATATCTAATTTTTTACACTTCTGGTTGTATATGTCATCAGTTTTTGGCAGCATCTATATTTGTAAGTAACTTTTTCCAAGAATGAAGCACACGAAGGGCAAAATTAGAACTAAAATATCTGATGAACACTTGAGAATTCTTTGAGAATTGCTACTACATCCATCAAACCAGATATTGATGCCTTAGCTTATCAAAAACAGCTTCAAATATCACATTAGTTTTATGTTGCCCTCTTTTACAATAAAAATATGACAAAAAATTGAAGTTTCATTACTCAGATAGGTACATTATTTATATCAGTTATTGTTAACTTGTGATCTGCCTGACTTTTTTTGCTAATCAGCTATCCTTGTTGTCAGTGTATTTTATGTCTGGCCCAAAACAATTGCTATTCTTCTAATGTGGCCCAGGAAAGTCAAAAGGACCCCCCTCTACCCCCACATTAAATGTCTTTTAAAAAATATTACACAAAAAAAATTAAGTTTTATTACTCAGATACATTATCTGTATCACTTACCATTAACTTATATGAATGTGTACCCTTGCACGAAAGACACACAGGTTTATATAGATTATATAGATTGGACATATGTGCTGGACCTATGGTATGTCCAATTCCTTTCTAAAAGTTATGAGAGAAAAACTGGTATACTGAAGGGGATTCTGAAGACTGATTGTTGTAATATTTTGCATATACTCTGTTGAACTTGTCATCTGTTGCTGAGAACCAATAAATGCTACAATCTCTGAAAAAAGAACCTAGGTTGACTGCCTTAAAATTGTCCTATCCATCCTATTCCTATAATAAATAATAATTCATAAATTAATATTTACTAATATGTTATTACAATATTGTAATTGTGGCTTCCAGGATGTCCTGAGGCAAGCAGGAGGAGTGTGCAGTCATGCTCATTAGGTGTTTGCCTGGTCAAAAGTGCAGCAACAATACAAGCTGCCTTCCTATTACCTGATACTCAATATACCTACATTATGCACTGGAACCTGGGGTTGGCCATGCTGCAGTGGCAGAAACAGCAACAGTGAGCCATCAATGAGTATCCATATGAATACAAACAGGCTCTGGAGAGCTGGGGTCCTTTTCATCAGCAGTTCCTTATTTAGAATGCATGCAACATCTTATCACCATTCAAAGTTACAACCAGAATGTAAAACTGTAACGAGGTGGCGATTAGCACCACAATCCCTTTGGTCTTCCTGCTAGAGCTACCAGGGTGACATTTCATCCCTCTAGAAACCCAAGGAGTTGTAATTTGGTGGACTGAGATTGTTGAGGACAGCGTCTTGCTCAGTGACACCAAGGGGTTCTTTTCTCCAAGGCAGTTATCAGTGCTTAGGCTCATTCATGCTAAAATGCCTAGGGTCCAGAGCTGATGCTGACACTCTTGAAAGTGAGGATCCCATGGGCTGTTGGGTGTCCAGGCTGAGCTACTGTCTGGATCTTGCATAGTATGTGCTGGATGTTGTGACTTTCTCTGAAGTTTGTGTGCTGTCTTGGAGCAGTGATGGAGAGATGATCTGCTTGTTCCCTGCCACTGTGGACTGGCACAATTTCATAAAAATGAATCAATCCTAGATTAGCAATGAATACAACCCCCTGCCCCAACTAAACTTTTCCCTCCCAAAAAATGGTATTTTACACTATTACCAGCTCCTGCCACCATTACCAGATCCTGCCACCTATGCAGGACTGACACTACTACCAGCTACTACCACCGTTTGCAGAGGTGACTCAACTTGTTCTGTCCAGCTCAGTAGATTCTGTTAATAAAAAGCAGGATGCATTCCTAAATACACAAAATATAACAATATTAACATTTTGACATAACTACAGGGCCGTTGATCCAGGAAATATACGATTGCCTCATGAGGGATCAATAAGGAATATTTTTCCATCACTGGATTGAATTAGATCATGCTTTATCGTTTTTGTTTGCTTTCGTCTGGATCAATTGTGGGTATAGGATAGCATATATGGAGGTTTTCTTTGTGTGTGTGTTTTGGTTGTACTAGATTGTCTTTTCCAACCTGACTGACTATGTAACTTTGACACTGGGTATGTCCTCTGACCAACGAGGTATTTAAGCATCAGCCTTGGAAGTGGCTGATGCTGTGTATAAAAAACACAAAAAAAAAGCCAGCTACACTGCTTTCTGCAAATGTGCTATACTATACTACTGATTGCCTGTTTCATTGCTGATCTGGATCGACCTGACTAATCTCTTACTCGAGGTCTGCCCCATGACCTCTGTTTTAACCTGAACTTTCTTCTGAGATCTTGTCCATTGACAGATGGTTTGCTCTGACCTCTCTTTTGCTGTCTTGCGTGTTGCTGACCTCTGCCAGTATCCAACCATTCTCCAGTCACTCCCTGGTGTACTGGACCACATCGTAACTTAATTAAGAGTACACTTTCCTATAGCTTTTAGATCTGTTGTGACTGCAGCTTTCAGTTCAGGCCTGTCCTTGCTGGATAATGAATGAGGTTTTGCAGCCTTAACAAAAACTACCTACAAAAAATATTGAATCAAATTGGGGTGATGCTGATATATTTAAGAAAAGCAATAATGTAAACTTAAAAAAAAATAATTATACATGCAAAATATGCAATGCCAGAATACAGTGTTACTGATTATGCTGTACGCTTCCAAAACACCACATACACCTTAAAGGCATCTACTAAGTATATAATGTAAGAATGTGTGCTTTTCCATGTCACCATCAAAGTTGCAATGAAACAAGGACCCTGCTGTATGGTATTTTTTTAGTATTGGTATATGTTCCCCATGGCACAGCCCAACTCCCAAAGTCCTTTAAAATATTAGAGTTGAAAATGGCCAGGATTGGTTTCCAAATTTACCTTTATTAACCTCAATGGTGTTTGGATTTAATTTAGCAATTTTCAGATTTTACAAACTGAACCATACATTTGCCCAAGCCTATTGTGAGTCAGTCATTACAGTTTTGGCAACTGATGCTTCTAGCTCATGCACCCACATAATGTGCAGTTTCATCAGGATGTTGGTCATTAGACTAAGCCTCATGGCCAAACTGGTCAGAGTTTTCATGCCCCTGAATACTGATAGCAAGGGAATTCAGCAGCGTCTCACCCCAAATTTCTCAAACCTTTATTTTACGTTAAGGTAATAAAAGTAATTACACATGTAAAATATGCAATGCCAGAATACAGTGTTACTGTACAAATTTCTCAGGTTTTTAGTTTTACGTAAACATGTCAGTATCCATTAAAGGATAAGTTCACCTTTTTGACAAAAATATTAAATGCAAATTTTTTTTCAGGTAAAAATATGTGCATTTATTTTTGTCTGCAGGAGCCTGGAATGCATTTCACCAAGCGATCAGTAGGAAGCTTCAATGAACAAACACTGTGCTCCACAGCTCCATGGTAGTTCATTGAAAACTACAAGCAAACAGCTGCTAAGGCTGCCTAAATTTGTAGGCACCCATTCACAGAACTCTGCGAAGGAGTGGTCGGAGATGCACACAGCCATGCTGTTTTCAAATCTGACAGATAGTAAGGGGAAACTTCTCCCCATACTATATGTCAGAGGGAGGGGGGGTGGCGGGCGCAGCTGCAGCTATGGGAACTATGTAAGCTATGTTACATGTTGCATCCTAAAAAAGGGTGGAAAATGTAACATGTTCCCAAAGGTGAACTTATCCTTAAAAGTGCATGTCCAGTCCAAGCTATTCTTATGTTGTTTCATTTTCACTGTTAAATAGTATTTAGGATTATTTTATCATTTCATAGAGCAGGTGATGACAGAAAGGGTGCATTTGAACCACTTAATAGCAGTACCAGACTCATGCTTTCTATGAGATGATAAGCTGTATATCTGATGTGCTGGTTCTTGGTGATGGAATTCACTTTTTCTTTAATTCTATAACAGTGTGATCTAAAGCATTAACATGAAGCCATACAATACTATTCCATTAAGAATGCATAATAAAACACTGTGGACAGTGCATTAGATGCTGCTTTTTATCCTTAATTTCTTAATTATGTTGCATACACAGCTTTTCAGACTATGATAAGGGAAATGTAAAGATCAGGAAACCACGATTTTTTGGATGGAAATCCAGGAATTTAT